AAAGTACACTATCGTGTAAATTATATAAACTTGAGTTAAACTGAGATTAAATTGCTACGTAAACTTAAAAGGATCACTGCTCGAACACCCTGTCTAACTGTTGTAATTCGCAAGAATTGCACGTTAACAGTATAAAAGTGTGATTGTAAAAAGTATTCTCTATATAATCACAATTATATTAATAAATTATATGTAGTGATTATATAAAATTTTTTTTATTAGATATTATGAAATAATAGTTAATTTTTAAAATGTAGCAATAATCAATTTTAGAACACTTTATTAAATGCAACAATAGTTTTTTAAAGCATTTTATTGCAAATTTAAATATAATATAAATACTATATAATATTATAACATTATATAAATGTTATATAAACTATGTATTAATTAACCGCTAAAAAAAATTTGTAATGGAAGTTTGCTTCTGAGATTATAATTCAAGCCATTTAATTATCTTAAAATATTTGTTAAAAATTTTTATATCTGCTACATAAAACTCATCTATTTACTGTTACTCAAAGAATGTGATTCATGTTTGTAGAGATTTGAGAGCATCACTTAAAGATATTGGTATTTGTTCTTCTTCAGAATCACTATCTTCATTACTTTTATTATCATTATACATTTTCTCTTTAACAAGTTTTATAATGTCATTTTCATCTAAAACATCTTCAATTGGGATTTCTCTAAGTTATTAAAAAAATTATTTAATGCATTTACTAACAAAGTTGCAGAAGAATTATTTATATTGAGATCTATAATCATTTGATTAATATCCACATCTTCTTCTTTGGCTCTTTCTTCTTGAGTTTGTATTACATTATGTATATCTTCATTAGATAAAGGAAGAATCCCAGTTTTTTTCCAACAATTTTGAATTGTTTCTTTAGTTACACAACCTCATACTTCTACAATATAGTTTATTGTCTCTTTAATACTAATCTTCTCTTTGTTAATATCTTTTTCATCTTCAAAAAGATCCAGCATATGACAACAGTATTTTCTCTTAAAATAGCTCTTAAAATTTGCAATTATTTCAGCATCAAGTGGTTAGAGATGGCTTATTATGTTTGAGGGTAAAAAAACAACTTCAATATGAGTTAGCTGCTATTGAAAAATATTTGATCTACCATTATGACTACTGTGATCTCTTGACTCTTCATCATCACAACCTTCTAATTTACCACTATGATCACCTTTTGATCCTTTATCATGATCTCTTGATCTTCTGCCACAACCTCTTGATTCTTCACTATGACCTCTTGATCCTCCACCATGACCCTTTGATCCTCTACCACAACTTCTTGATTCTCTGCCATGACCTCTTGATCTTCTACCATGACTGCTATTTGAACTACTACTTGTAAATTCAACTTCACCATCACCGTCTTCATCTTGATTATCTTATTTAACTTTTAAAATTGATGAACTATATGAATTGAAATGTGATAGAGCATTATCAATTAGAAGTAAAATCTTTTTGTTTTGTATTCTAAAATAATTATCTATTTCATAAAGCACCTCTTTAAAAACTGAAGAATTCATCTATGCCTTCAAATTTTTACGATAGTAAATCAGAAGGTATTCTAAATTAACTTTCAAAAGTGATCTTGGACTCTTAACATTACCAATTACCCATGGTTTAAGTTTATCTGTTCCTGTTATATTAGAGCTAAGAAGTACAATAATTCTTGACTTGTCTTTTTTCAGCCAAGAACAGGTTTAGTAAAAAGGGTTTGGTTAGGAGACATCTGATAAAAAAGACCCTTTGTAATAATAAATTATATATTAGTTTAGAAAATAATAATGTAAATAAAATAATATGTAAATAAAATAAAATAAACTTGCAATTTCATCAATATTGTAAATTCTATCAAGAGTATACTAGCCTAAAATTAATTATAACTTTGCTCATTCCTTTGAAATAATACTAATAGCACACTTCCAACTCTCCATGTATATGATATTTATGAACATTATTACGTTTTTTGAATTTATATAACTAACTATTAGAAAATATACACTTATTTTCTAATATATTGGGTGTATTGACAAAAAATCTTGCCTTTTCTTTTATTAATAAATCTGTTAGAATGATCCATTTGCCATTACATCTTCTATCTATAAATTCATAGCATAATCAAGTTTCAAAAATTTGATTCCTTTATATCTAAAAATTTTCTTAGAATCTTCTTCTATCATAGAGATCCACTTTTTACTTTTTTTCAATATTTTGATACAGTGCTGCGTTTAATATTTAAAGTTAAGTCTTTTTCATTGAAATAATCTGCAATTTTTAAATGTGTTTTATTTTTATTATTTTGTGATCATTCATAAATTTGTTTTTTGAGGTCAATACTTATGATTAAATAGTGTTATTTAGGTCTGTTAGGTCTGTCGGGAGGCATTATAAAAAGACAAAAAAAATGGTTGTTTGAGAATTGCTTTGAAAGGTTTTTAGAAAGCTTTTAGTAATAAAGTTACAATAATAAACATTATAGCTATTAATCGACATGAAAAAACTATCGCTATAGGACAAACACGAAAACTATGTAAAATTCAAAAAATTCAAGAGGATTGTTCTATTTTTCAAGTGTTATAAATTATTATTCTATTTTCTAAGCTTTTACTAAAATGCGTTACATTTTTACATATTTTATGTGTTACATTTTTACTTATTACATTTTTTTATGTGTTACAAAAAAAAATAATCAATTAAATTTATTTAATCTAAGCCAATCAGTAATTTTGTGATTATAAAGAAGTTGAATTACTAACAAAAATGATATGTACATTATAAACATAATGTGATAGTGACTATTACTGATTTGTGATTATATAGAAGTATTTTAATAATATTAAAATCTGTTTTATAAAAATAAGTGTTTATAAGGAGGTGTGACTGTATAGGAGGTAATTATATAGAGGTTTGACTGTAATCTTTCTTTGTTATTTGATATCATAACTAATTATAGTGGTTATTCTTACACTCTTATAGTGACAATAAAGCTATAGAAGTATCAGCGTATAGAAAATCTGTCATAAATCAAATGGTAATGCAGACTGGTCTAATGGAATTATCTATACATCTAATGAAAAGCCATATTAGATATGCATAATAGAAGGAAGTAAAGCATATAACACAAAAATGGAAAAATGCGAGGATTGGAAAAGATATTAATAATTTTGTTAAGAAGTAAAATTTAAACGAGCATTACTAATATATTTTCAAGGATTTATGATATACAGCTTTGAGTTAAGTTTACAATTCTACTTCATGAATTATTTGGGTATATATATTAATATTCTGCAGCATTTTAGATACATATAATTTTACAAATCTTTTTATTAGACCGATACTGAATTTTCAAAATTGAGATCTGTGAATAGGAATAGATCTAAAGATGGTTCCCATAATTATTTTCAAATTTGAATTGAGTTGCAACTTAATTGCACCATAAGGAAATTTAATTGCATCACAAGTTGCAATTCAATTGCGCCATTTTTTTTTAATTACGATGACCATCTTTAAATGGATCAGTTCTAGTAAGACCATTCTTAGACCAGTAAATGAGATCAGTTTTTGCAGTCCTTAATCCATATTCTGAGAACTAGTCCAGTCCTTGAACTGATTTATGGACCAGTTCAGTCTAATAAAAGATGAAAGACTGGTCTTTTTAGACCTGACTGATCCAATATTACCTGTGCAGTACTTACAGATTTTATTAGCATTTGTTTATTTTTCTTTCTATATCATGATATGGTAACATGGACTGTGGGTCTTAGGTTATTAATCTGTGTTATTATTGAGTAAAAAAATTGATTTTTAATTATTCTAATTTCTATTTCATAGCTGATGATTAGAGATGCTGATAGAGAGTTTCAGTTATTTAGAAATTCTAAAAAAAGCTTTTGCTACAATAATGCACATAATTTACGAGTTTTGATGTAATTATCTCATAATCAAGCTTGATCAGGTGACAAAAAAAGCATGAAAATGAATAAAATTATTGAATTTTGCCTTATTTAAGTATATTAATTTTAATATATATTAAAATAAATATATTTAGATATTTACAAGATTCAGTTAAAGTAATCAAGATTAGAAACACAAAATTTTTTACGTGATTTTACCAATGTTATTCGATGTTGATGAAACAAATCTTTTTAAGTTCATTCTACTTTATCCATTTTATTTATTTTCTTTTATATACTGTATATGAGATATGTAGAGTAGTATCTGTTGTATATATGAATCGATTTATTAAATTAAAAAAATATTAATTGGTTTAATTAAAATAAAAATAAATAAAATAAAATCAATGTTTTCTCTTGATAAAAATTTCAAATAAAATATAATCAATTAATATATATATTTGTAATTACCCAAATTTTTCTATCTAAAATATTTATTTGTTTAATTAAAGCGTGTTTTTTGTGTATTGAGATGTAATAACATAGTCAGTAGTTGTATTTTGGGCTTTTTGGCACAAAAAGCCCAAATGCGTCCAGAAGGTTTTCCTGGGTATCAAAAAATTAT